GTGTTCTTTATACAGCCCAGGCCCATCTGCCCATGGAGGGCACTGCCTTCTGTGGGCTGAGCCCTCTCATGTCAATTAGCAATCAGGTAAAATGCACCACAGACATCCCTGCAAGTCAACCTGGTGGGGACAATTTCTTCATGATGGTCCCTTCTCTCAGGTAGGTCAAATCAACACTTTTTTTGAACATAGAGTTTTAATTTTTTTTCACAATTTATTCATTATATATCCCAATTGAAGCTCTTCCCTCAACTCCTCCAAGTCCCACCCTCCCTCTTCCTCTATCCTATCCCCTTCCCCCAGTCCACTGAAAGGGGTCATTCTCCTCCTCTGCCACCTGCCCCTAGATTATCAAGTATTATCAGGACTTCCTGGATCCTGTTCCTCTGTGGCCTGGTAAGGCCACATTGCCAGGGACAAGTGATCAAAGAGCAGGCAACTGAATTCATGACAGATTCGGCCTCTGCTCCCCTTACTAGGGAACCCACATGGAGACTGAGCTGCCATTTGGCTACATCTGAGGATAGGTCTAGGTCCTATCCTTGGTTGGTGCATCAGTCTCTGCAGGACCCCCTGGGCTCCGAATTTTTAGTTTTATTGGTTCCCTTGTGGGGCTCCTGTCCCCTCCATGTCCTTCTATGCCACTTTCTTCAATAAGACACCATAAATATATGATTTAAGGACTCAATCAAACCAGCACATAAACATTTAAATAATATCTCAATGTTATAAATTGAAGATGTTTGTACTGTTGAACAGTTTCCTGGGAGAACGTGGTGCTTGGTACACAGAAGGGACTCAGCTTACAAGAAGACATCCCAATAGTCTTTGCAAAAGGTGCCTAATTGACTTCTATTTATTGTGATTCCACATCTTCATACATAAGTCATTTATTGTAACCAAGAGCATGCCTTTCAATTAAGACTACTTACTGTAGAATAGAACCAGCCAATGTGCTGGCCTATAGGAATAAAGGCTCAAGGCAGCATTTCTACATCTACTGGCAAGACTGTGTGTGTGCTTCTGGCAGAACTGTCTTCTGTGGAAACATGTACTGTAGTGAATGTTTGTCACATGCTCTTCTTACCAAAGTCACCTTACCCAGTAATTCACACTCAAGTCCAGTCATAGAGTGGCTGAGCTGTGTTTGTTTTACTACAGTAAAAGAATGTGTGACTTGTAAGGAAGACTTTCCCTTCCTTTCTTTGATTAAAAGCATGACAAAAAACAGAGTAATTTATCTTGAATTAATATCAGGGAAGTGGCTAAAAATGTATAGAATTCGTGCAGAATTGTTGAAGAAATAACAATTTTTTTTTTAAAAAAGATAGAGTTGAAAATAAAATGTGTTTAAGAATTGTGAAGATGTCAGGGGTGGTCAGGCCTATAATCCCCACACAGGCAGAGGCAAGTAGATCTCTGTGAGTTTGAGGCGGGCCAGCCTAGTCTACAAAGTGAATCCCAGACAGTCAGGGCTATGTAACGAAACCATGTATCAAAAAAAAAAAAAAAAAAAAAAGCAAGCAAAACAACAACAAAAAGTGCAGTGATGGGGAGGACACATGAAGGATGTTAAGGATGTTAAGGTTGTCGGTGGTGGTGTTTACAAAAACCATAGGATACCTTCAGCCTGCTCACCCAACAGTGTTTGCCAATAAAGTAAGAGTAAAGTAATTGGTTAGTGTTTTAGTTATCACAAACACTAAAAGGAATCTGATAATCTGACTTGTATGTAAACTGCAAGAGTGTGCCTAAGCTTTTCGGGTCTAGCAACCCTGGGTCCTAATGCACCGTTATTGACTTTCTTGCTTTGATGTTCCCTTGCTTTGCCACCATACAACACAATGACTCAGATCTGCTACGTACTAAAAAATGTAACCTGAAGACTGGAGAAAACACACACACACATACAGACACGCACACCTTCCCATTTACCAGTTAACAAATTTTGTTAGGAATAGGATAATGTAGGCAAAGCATCAAATTATATACAACTGATGTAAATATGTTTTTAAAAACCACAATGTACTTTAGAATTTTGTCTGTTTTTGAGATCCAAAGTTTTGGTAAAGGTTACCCTGTTGAGCACATGCATCATTAAATACTTTATCAGGAAGGTCCAAACAATTCTACTGAGAGGTTCAAAGAATGTGCATTGCAATGTGCACAGGCCTGGGAAGGCAGAGGGGAGAGCTGAAACCTTCATCTATTACCTGTAACTCATTGTATATCTGCTCTAGGTGAGCTAAACAGTGATGGCCATGCACAAGGTAACAGATGGTGGAAAGCGGCACTGTGGATTTCCTTTGTGTTACAGCTCCACTCAAGGGAAGTTAAGGGTTGTTGGTTATTCTTCTAAAAGAAAGAAACTCTCTGGTACATTGGAGACAGGGTGTATCAGCTGACCTTTGACCTTCTCCCTCATTAGCAGCCCAGAGCACCAACATCATTGACTGGCATGTTTGCATGCTTAGGCTTTAGCATTCCGAGAAATTTGATAACTGTTATTTCACTATTCCTTTTCTAGGAGATGCTTTCAGGAAGGTGCTGTGATAAAAATAGATTTCCATATTGTCCTGTTAGGTGTTTTCTTAGGTATTCAATTCACACACTTTGATAAAAATGGGGCACATGTTTGCAGGATAGAGTTTTGTTTTTCTAGTGGGTTATAGCATATCATCAAGAGTAATTTGACACACACACACACTTATCACCATGGATTTACTTCTAATGAAAACATGTCCCCTGAGGTGGTCACCATCTGCCGGCCCACAAGCCCACCTGTATCAGCTCATGAGCAAAGTCAATAAGAGACGCTGGACAACTCACAGAAATCTGAGAGCAATATTCAATATTTTAATGAAGGTGCAATTTCCTGTAAATAAATAGTAAGTCATCCCTAAACTTGGGTAATTTCAAAGTTCAATAATTAGAGAATTCCTTTAGAATTATTAAATTACTATTAAAAAAAAGAAAAAATTGTTTCAAGTGACAAAAAAATGGTATTGAAAATGTAGGCAATTGCTTAATATCACTCAGAAGTTTTGAGACCCGAGAGTTCTCTAAAATATTATGAAAGGTCAAAGGATGAGGTCTGAAGCCTGAAAGTAACAAGGACCACAGCAAACTCCCCACAGCAGGCACCACATCCACAGCCTTGGAGCTCTGCACTGGCAGGGTGAAGGTCTCCTGGAGGCAGAACATGCTCCCGATGCGTTCCTTGACCATGTATTAAATTGCTCCTTAGTAAAATAATTGCCAGGACATATCACGAGGATGTGTGTGAGGGCTCAAGTCCTTCAGGCTGAAAATGGTGCTGCTTTGCCACGCACTAGCCATTCCCTAATTCAAACACATACACATTTCAGTTCCTGTAATTTCAGCTTGTGTCTAAAGCTGATGTTCAAACTTTGAAAAGAAACTTGTATCATGAATAAAAGGGGGTTTAATCCACATCTGCTCCAGGAAAAAGCACCCCTCGTCTTTGCCGAACATGAAAAGTTATTCCACTACAGTGTAACAAAAATGCATTACTTCTGTGTTTTCAGACTCATAACAAGAATAATAGATTGTTAAAACATGTCGTTGAAATGTATTAGAATTTATCTGTGAGGTTGGCCTCAAGAACATTTAAAAAGCTTTAAGTCATATTCCAAACCCACATTGTTAGATTTAAAATATTGCACCGTGCAGGCATAAATAGATGTCATTATTCCCCACCTTAGACATGCATGTGTTATGCCGCTGCTGTGCAGTCTGTACTCATAAGCAAACTACCACCCAGTGGAGAGAGGGAAGATCTTTCAGGAAGATGGGCAAAGCAAGTCAGGAGGGGCTGCCAGTGTAGGTGGGTCCAGGGGAAGTGAGGGCACTAGGCAGGGCAGTGAGCCCTGCTTAGTTAGCTCTAAGCACCACTGGCCATCAATTTCCATCCAAAGGGAAAGGAAGTAGTCCCTGGCACACTTACTTGGCAGTGTTGCTTCTGGGGAAAACAGTCTAGGAAACCTTTCATTACAAACCCCTCTCTTCAAGCTTAGTTAAAATAAGGGAAGGCAAGAGGTAAGAATGAAGACAGACAGGAAGGGAAGTGTGCTTGCACATGTGTGGTGAGTGTGGAGTGTGAACCCTTTAAATACAGAGGAAGAATCTGAAGGTGGAGTGTTTCTTACAGGGTTTGCAAGTGCCAGTGTGTGAGAGGATGGGAGAGCCAGAAGGGAGCGTGCTCGTAAAATCAAGATTTATGAGGCTTTGGAAATGGTACTGGAACATGCCTGTGGGTGTGACAAAAAAAAAAAAAAAAAAAAAAAAAAAAAGTGCATGGGAGATGAGAGGGGAAAGACAAGGGCTATGTTGAGAAATTAGTGGAAAGGGAAAGGTGGAGAATCGAGGAGAATCCAGAGTGACCGTGGTAGAAGTAGGAAGGCAGTGTAAAATAGTGGAAACAGAATAGAAGGGAAAAACAAGAGAGTGAAGGCAATGGGGGGGGGGGTGAACAGGGAGATGGAGGAATGTGATAGGAGAAAGAGGAAGAGGGGAAACAAGAAAGGAAAATAGCTACAAGGGGGGAAAAGCTGAACGAGGAATATTTGGATTTTACTATTCAAGTGAGAGGGAAAATAAATGGAGCACGGAGCCAGCAGTTGGAAAAAGTCGCTTGCAGAGTGAAGCAGAAACAAGCCCCGTAAACTTGTCAGACTCCAGGAGCACCGCTGGCAGCAGAGCAGAGACCCAGCTCCAAAGTGGCACCTGCCCCTCCTTCCGGCCCCTCACTCCTCACCCGGGCTGCCCAGAAAGCGCGCTTTCCTCTCTCCCTATAACCCGGCCAGCCCCCTGCCCAGGATCTAGGGAACCCAGGAAAGGTCAAGCCCAGCTAGCCCGAGCTGTGGTGTTTTGCTAGAGAGCAACAGCAGGATCCACGCTGGGTGTCAAGCAAGGTGCAGAGAGGGAAAGGGACGGAAAGATAGACTGAGGCAAGAGTGGAGACGGCGCGCGGTCCCTACCTGAGCACCGCCGTGTCACCTTTCCTCACCAGCATGTTGTCCACGGCCGCCCAGGGGAAGTCCACGCTCTGCCCAGCCGGGAGGCAGGAGCACAGGCTCAGAAGCACCGCCGCCAGCCACTGGTTCGAGCAACAAGCGCCCTGCGCCAGGAGCACCATGTCCGTGCCTGCCAGGCTGCTCACTCTCCGGCAGCGTCGGCTCCCACCCCCTGCTGCTGGCGAGGCTGCCCGGTAGCCAGGCGGCGCGCCACACGAGATTTTTTTTCCTCTTTTGCTTTTTTTCTGAGTGGGTGGGTGGGTTTCTTCTCTTTCTCGCCCCCTCCCTAGTTGTCGGGCGTAGTTTCCCTCTTTCCCCGGCCTCGCCTCCTTTCTGCTCGTCTGCAGCTTGCCTGCCCTCCCTCCCCTCCCGCCCCCTGGCACCGCGCTCCACCTCCTTCGGGGCGCCCGGCCGCGTCCGGAGCGTGGCTAATCCCTGGCGGCCGCACTCCCGTCCTGCGAGGCGGCGAGCAGAGCGCGGGAGGCGGCGCAGGCAGCGCGGGGCGCAGCGGCGGCCGGCGGCCCCCGGGCTCGCGCGCGTTGCCAAGCGGCCGTTTCCGTAGCAACCCCGCCCGGGGATGGAGGACCAGGCAGGGAGGGGGCCGAGGAGCCAAAGAGATGGATCAAAAGGAGGGAAAGAGGGGGACTGGGAAGCTAAGGCGGCGGGGGTACGCCGCCGAGGTCTAGTCCGGCTTGGCGGCGCGAGCAAGGGAGCTGAGCGGGCCGCGGGGCTGGGCTGTCAGGGCACCGGGGCCGGGTCTGCCCTCCCGTGCAGTCAGGTCTCCCAGCCTACCGGGGCCCCCGACTTTAAAGTGCTCAACTTGGGGTCGGCGCCATCATGACGCCTGAGACTGTGAGTTGGCTTTTTTTGATGTATTTTTTTTTTTTTTAATTCTGACTAGCTAATCGCGTTGTTAATGAACTGCCAGGCTCTGTTCTGCTCTGCTCTCCTCTCCTCTCTCTCCCTCTCTTCCCTCCCTCCGTTATTTTTTCTTGGGGTGGGGGTATGTTTTACCCTCTTTTGGAGATGTGCAGGGACTGTGGCGGCGCTGCTGCTTTGCGGGGACAGTAGAGTGATCCCGGCCTAAAGGCCGAGAGCTAGTGCGTCTGTGAGTCTGCCTGTGAGGACTCTGGAGGACGCCTGCCCTGCTCTGTGCGTCTTGCTACTAACTTGTGCGTGAGTGTGTGTTCGGTGGTGGTGCAAGTACAGAGTGTGCGCGTGTGAGAGGGAGATGGAGTGTGCAGGGCGCGTGCAGGGCTGGGGAGCGCGCAAGACGCAGGCGCACTGGGAGGGATGGGCGGGCCTTGCTGGGATGCAGAGCAGGAGGAAGCTGCAATCAAGTGTTTTAATTGTGTAGAGCTAGGCGGTCCTGTTATGTAAGAGGCAGTTTAACCCATTTGAGCCTATTGGGTAGAAGGCTTGAGCATTCGAATGAAGCCAAAGCATTCCTAGGCTTTAATGAATCTCTGTTTTTTGTTTTTCCTCATTGCCTCCCAGATGGGGAGGACCCGCAGCCTTTGAGCAGCAACCTCAGCTCCCAAAACTGCAAGCCTGGCCCCGCGTACCTGCTAGCCCAGCCTACGCCCCTGGCAGGGCAGGCCAGGGCAGAGTGTCAGGACACCCCATGGTCCACTCTTGGTTTTATTTATTTATTTTCTTCCCTCCCCTTCTGGCACTCATTTTCAACCTCAAGATCCTAGAGCTCTTCCAGGCTTTTGCAAATCAATGAGAAAATCTGAGTTCAGAAGAGAAGCTCCAGTCCCCGTGAGGAATTTGAGAGCGAAAATGAAAGTGGAGGGAGATAGTAGTTAGAAATAACTTACCCTCCCCTTTTGGTTTTCCCCATCTTCCGCCTGTAGCGGTATTTAAAAAACACATTCGTCTTTCTCTGGTGCTCTTTGGAGCTCCTTTTTCTGAACGCCAGCAGGGCCATGCAGCAGAGCGCACTGAAGCAATGATCTCTGCAGGGGTCAGCATCAGGCTACCTCCCCAGACTGAGCTCTTGATAAGGCTGGCAAGAGTCATAGTTGCTGTTGTTGGTACTCAGGGTGCCTTTTTATTTTTATTTATCACCACGTCTAAGGATAGATGGGGTAAAAGCAGCAATTCCCATCACCGGAGACCACCCAGACTGACTAATCCAAGAGCTTCTAAACAGCCTCACCTCCCTGCAGAAAAGTCCCCGCGAGGCTCAGCAATTAACCGGGGGTTTGCAGCAGGAGCTACCGACTTGATTAGTATTCAGGCTTAATTCTCAGAACCCGCTCAGGAATTGAAAGTGCGGTAGTATTCAGCCGCATTTCGAAACATCAATAAAATGTTAGTCATTTGCGGATGAATGAAAACATTTTTTCTTTACCGTCTGGTGTGCTAGGGAAATAATTGTCAAATGGCAGCCTCCCACGAATATTGATGCCAGATACCTAAAGCTCTCCTCTGGTGTACTTCATTTAACATTCTTGGCAGTGCACTGTGGATAAAGCTTAAAATTATCTAGGACAAACGAGGTATTAGAAGACTTGACTTCCCTCTACGTGGTCAACTAGTTCCATGCGGAATTATTTCGCCACCGATAAACCTGACGCCAACGAAAGGAGGCAGAAGGCTCAGCCTCTGGCACTGAGCCAAAGCTTAATGATACTGTATGCAGGGATGCTAGAGCCAGTGCCTTCGAGTACAAGCCACTGAAAGACGTCCTTTCCTAAATGCCTTCCCCAGAGACTGGATCTTCAGCGCGGGGGCTGGGGGGCAGGAGGAGGGACTTCTGTGGCCAAGGCCTGAGCGCTGCAGCAATATTAATATGTACAACAACCCTTCAGGCTTGTACACCGAAATTGGAGCCACTTCTATTTAAAGGAACGAATTTCCTTTCCTGTTTCTGGTTTCTATCTCTGCTTCTATTCAATGATCAGAAAACACTTAACTCTTACAGAACCAATCCAAATAAAATCAAGCAAGAAACCCGGCTGATAGATGTGTGGAGTTTAGAAGTCTGTCACAATTAAGGAATGTAAGAATGCATGTCAGGCAGTTGCTCTTGCCTCATGCATTGCTGTTGTCCTCTGACTAAACAGAGAAATGGAGGATTAACCTCAATGCTTGTTATGGGAGGTTTTCCCCTTGACCCTTCCCAGGGTTCATGTCTGAGAAGATTTTCATGGCTTCCAGTATTTGCTTCCAAAGTCTCAGAATTTTTCCCAGAGGAGATATAAATCCTAGAATTCTTGGCTACTTTTGAGGAAACTCTGGAACAGAATCAATTAAGAAAATGAAAAAAGGTAGGAAACCCTAGTTTTAGACTGAAAAGCCACACTGTGTTCACCTGAATGGTGGCTGTAACAGGATGGGGCCTTGGACAGAAATCCTAGACACTGACAAAGCCAGTCTCTCCTACTGTGTAAGCATGCACTTTGCTGTTTCTAAACCTCAGGTTCTCACATTTGAAGATCATGATGACCAATATGGAGTTGGTTTAGAACAGGGGAGGTGATGGAAGAAAATTCTCCATTGACTTACATTTTTTCCTCATGCCTATGACCTACATTTTTAACCACTGTTATAAAACTTCTTTGGAGTTTTCATTTAGGATTCAATGGTGCAAATGAGATTGTCATTATAAAAATAAAGGACAGAAATAAACTGTTTTGTTTTTATCAATGGTGACTAAGGCCAACATCAACTCACAGCTCATTACTCTCTGTGCATGAGACAGAGACAGGACCTAGAAACTTACTGTAAGAGCTGACAAGAACACATAGTTCTTGAAGGAGCCAGTCAGGGAACTGTCTTGCCAGGACATAGGCCAACAGCTCTCTCCCTTGCCAGGTGCTTCATTTTGAGTTAAAGGGGCTGAAGTTTGATGCATTTTCAAGTGATTGTGAAACATAAAAACAAAACCAAAAAACCCTTAGGGAATTAGTTAGAGATTCTTGGCCTACGAACCAGGTAACTGGCATTGCCTTGGCAAATAAATGTTCAGTTGCATGGAAGTCTCAGCAAGTAACAGTTAATGGTTCACAATGCCAGGAGATGTCCACTGGGCTATCATTCTCTGGCATTACTAAATACCCTGCCACACAGGAGCAAATCACTCCACGTTAAGAACTAATGGTTCTGTTAGAGGTCACAAATATGAACATCCATCAATGTTCCCTCCTCCTTACCTGTGATGAGGCAGAGCGATGGCCCACACCCCACACTGCCTTGAAGTCTACAAAGACAGAAGTGGCTCTTCATTAAGTCCGGCTCCACTTGGCTCTGAGCCATTGAGGACTTGGTTAGCACAACTGGAAAGGATATAATAATTAGCCCAAATAAAGTATTTTATAGCCACAGTCCCACCTGTACTGTGTGTACCATGCACTGTGGCTGGCTCTCCTCAGTGCCTGGAATGTGCGCTTTGCCCCTGTGAGGTTCTATGATAAATGCTGCTGTGAGCATTTGGGTAGCTTTGGGTAGAGGCTCCCAGACTTAGACCAGATTTGACATGACAAGTCTCAGCTTTAAGAGAAATCATCATTTCGTAGCTTCCGAATAAAAGAGATTCTGAAGTGATGAGCTGCCTTCCAGGAAGAGCTGCCTCTGGCCTCTGTGTTCCTGACATTAGACCTGCAGGGTAGGCAGCCTGAGAAATGAATATTGAATCCAGGGGAAGGGAGTTATTGACCTCTGCAGTCATTCAGTCTAAACAATGAGTTAAGGCACAGAGGTCTGTTTGCTACTGGGATGGGAGGGGAGGGCTCCCAGGCTACCACCAAAAGCTCCCTATGTTCTCCAGGAAATGCTACAAAGGTCGCCTCAGAGTTTATGTGGGAATCATGTAAGTACTGAAGGAAAACATTCCCAAATGCTAAATCTTTATTCTTTTTCCTTGTAAAATGAGAGTTACCTACATTTTGTTACATGTTTTCATGGGTTCCACAAAAAGCAATAGCTTTCATTTAACTATATGAATGATCTCTTCCCATCCAAAAGTCTGTAGGAACATACACTATATGAATTAAAATGAAAACATCAAATTTGATGTTTTCAGCTGTACCAAAAAAAAGAATAAAGTCACATTTTCTCAAATAAGTGTGCTATTTTATTATTCTATATCATAGTTTTTCAAATGTTCTTCCTCAAGGTAGAGATGTTTCAGTGTATTTACTGTGTTTGGGGATTACATCTTCCCTTCATTTATTTTTGCAATCTCTATGTCTTTGTGCATCTGTGAAAGAGGAGAGCTTACTGTGTGACCTTAAGGAATTTTGACTGGAATTGGCAGTCTTCAATTGGAACAATTATTATTTCTGATTTCATAAAGGAGCAATATGAAAACCATGGGTATTTTGAATAAGTTCAAAAGTAAGTTACTGTGGCAAGTTCAGCCCAAGAGGAATTCTAGAAATGTCTGCATTGTTATAACTCTTGTTGTGGATTATGATATTCATAAAGAAATAAAGACAAGATGAATGTACCAA